TTCAACTCCCAGAATTCCCCATGCCTGGCTGGGGAATTCTGGGAGTTGAAGTCCACACATCTTCAAGTGGCCAAGGTTGACAAACACTGGACTACAGACAAGTTCCATACAGCATATAGTGACACAGAATGACTGGATTCACACACACACCACCCAAAGCCTCAACTGTTGGAAGAGAAAGGTAATTTACAGACCTTCCATGAACTGACAGCTGAACCAGGTAACTATAAGGCTTTCAAGAATTTAACTCCTAACACACTGCAAGATGGATTGCCTTTCTAATTAAAAGCTAAAGGTTGCATTTTATCCAGCAGGAGATCTTTCGTTAGAACTGTATGCTGTGTTTACATAATATGCTTAATCTGATTACTGAATTAACTCATTGTCAAGGCTTGCACAATATATTGTGCCAAAAACTAGCCACATGGGTTGGGTCTGCACAATGTGTTACTTCTTCTTTTTGTCTGGCTTAACACTAACCCAGAGCAGCATGGTGTATTTTAGCCACTGAATTTAGGCACACACAAGTCAATTCTACTGAGATCAATAGAGGCTACTTTCATGGAAGGATTTCTTTATTGATTAATTTTGTTGGGGTTTTCTAGATATGTTTATTCATATAAATCAGCGTTTCTCAACCTGACCAACTCTTAAGATTTGTAGACTTCAACTCCCAGAATTCCCCTCTTGGCTTTGAAGTCCACACACCTTAAGGTTGCTCAGGTTGAGAAACACTGCTATAAGCAAGCAAGGGAGGAGGCTGACTGATCATTTTTAGAAGGAAAATTATAGATGCTCTGTGGGGGTGTGGTTATGACACTGTGGTTGGTTGGATTAAAACTAAGCTAACTTTAAATTTAAGATTAATACTAAACTAACTAGAATATGCTTTGCTTGTATGTGGTGTGAACTGTGCCATTGTGCTTGGTGAATGTAGGTTTAGCACAATCATGGGTTATTCAAGTATGGTTAAGCAAATCATAGTTTAGTATCATCTAACAGTTTAGCCTTAAGAGCTCCTGCACTTCAAAACATTAGAAAACCTAATTAGAAACCTAAGAGAATGTTTTTTCTCTTCTTCCTTTTCTCTTTTCATTTTCTCTTTTTTCTTCTCCTTTTCAAAATATTGATAAATACATTAAAAGAAAAAGAAATAAAATAAAATGTATTAGAAAACCAACATGTAAAATTTAAAGATGATATTTTGGATTTTGGGGCAATTTTTGGCATATTTGGCCAATCTCCCATTCAATATGGTATATTATTATTTTCTAGGGCAATCATATGAAATCCGGATGCTGTGTAATCCCAAAATAGGAGAATTTGCCGAGGGACGGAAGCTGCTGAAGGTGAGCCATAGGACGGGAGACCAGACTGGCATTTTTGAAAATTGGATCCTCATGAGGCTTAATCTTACACTAAATAACAAGCCTATGGAACTCACTGACACAAAATACTGCAAATCTTTTTTAAAAAGATTCAGTTCACTGCCTATGGGGCCAGTAGAACCCAAAATTAATCACTAATTCCCAGAGAAACAATTGTTTTTTTCAGAAACTCTCAAATGTTGGTATTAACAGAACAGGATATTCCCATCATGGTTTGCTCACAGAGTTTGAAGAGAATCTTGTTCAATAGACAGTGGACTGAAAATTAATCAGAACAAAACTTTATGTAGTTCAACCAGTTCAGTGTCTTTGGGGCAAAAGTCACAGAGCCCAAACTTTCAGGAGGAAAGGGACACGCTCGCCACCCCAACATCTCTTTGGTCTGGTGGAAATGAGCAGCCACTAAATCTAACTAAAGCAATCCATCAATCAATCTCACAGCATTTCTCCTATGAGCAGCCTAATGAAGAACAAGTTGTGACTGAGTTGCAACTCTCTGGTGGTAGAAATGGATCCAGGAAATGTTGGATCTCTCTCTCTTCCTTGCTCAGAGTGTAATCAGGGTGGTCTTCCATGACCGAAGACTACAGTACACAGAACACCAACAATTAGAGGGATGGAGATGGAATAGGCCAGGTGACCGCATCCTGGATATTGGTAAGGTGTATTTTCAAAGGGGGGGGGGGGTTGGTGGTATTGCCTACCCAAGCCCCCAACTTGGAATGTGCTTTCCCTATTTCTCCTCCTAGTCTGTGCTTGGTTGGCAAAACCTTCTCATTTGAATCTCTACTTGCCATCCTCAGCTCCATCAGACCCTACCATAAGAGCCTTCTAAAAGCACATGGCTCACTGCCCTTATAGGCACTTAGGTACCCTGTGGCAGAGCATCCTCAGGGAGTCAAAAAAGTCAAGATGGTGGCCGCAATCATCATCAAGACTACAGGGACCATATGTCCTTTATCATAAAGGACAGTCCTTTATTTCAGAAAGCTGTCCTTTAGATTTCTTTAATTATTTATTTTCTTGGTGTTCCTCTTGAATTTTCCTTTGTAAAACAAAGTTACAAACATAAACGATTGCTTTTTTAAAAATCCTCATGAACCTCTTCCCGATTTGCCCCTTTTTCAGGCTTGTCCTTTATTTTATTTAAGAAAATATGATCACTGTAACCATGATGCATTTTTAAAAGGGGCAGAGCCTTGACGGCCCAGTTGTGGCTGACTCGTGACTTTTCTTACCCTCTCTGTGCAGACCCCTCCCCCTCCCTTTGGAAGGGGGCCTAAAGGATTGCCAAGCCAACATCCCCATGAAAAACGTGAGGAGAAGGAATCTGAAAAAAGGGAGAGTGGGAAAGATTCCTTTACTTCAGTGTTGTGCCCAACATTGTCCCCACTTTATGATGTGCAGCGCGCAACTCATC